CCGAGTAAAACCAAAGCCAAAAACTCCTTAAAGACATACTTGACTTTCACAAGGAAGTTTTCAAGCTTCAAGGAGATAGTTCATAGTTCTCAGTGCTTAATTGTCTACAGAGCAATTATTTTATTGCAGTACAAACGATGTGCAGCATTTTGAACAAGTTATTATCTGACAAGTGTTGTCATTTGCTATTACAATTGCACTTTGCTTGAAATTTTCTAGCACTTATCCATAATTCACAGAAGCATTATTTTACCATGGCTGAGGCGTTTTAATAGGTTGTGGGTTTGATAAGAATATTTGAAGTTTTCTACAGAAAGTAGTAAAAAGAGGGTAAAATTTGACATATGCCTTTAGATCTCGAACAGCGTAATGAATAAAGGCTAAAAGCACCCCGCTTTGAAAAAGACAAGTTTGTCATTTAAAAAGGTCTGGAGAGAATGCAGTGAAACTTGATACACATTTAAGTTTATCCAAAACATTAATATCATCTGCTTGAGATATTTAGATCTATGTTGAAAACATCTATTGATGTATAGTAAAACGCTTTACATATTTTCTCGACCAACATTCAAATAAAATTGAAATTAGTTTTGGCGTCAAATGACAAAGTAGTTTTCTTTTGCGGTTTGAAACATATCTTCATTTTCAAGTTAATATTTAATACATCAAATTTAAAGATTAGACAAGGATGGTTGAATTATATTTATAAAAATAATGATCCGACTCTTCTTTTTGATAACATTATCCGCCTTTTCTGGGTATGACATCTCATTTTCACATCCAGAATGTTATTATAAAAACAAGATGATTTGAATGTGGAGCTTATACAAAGTTAATAAAGACCAGCTTCACTGCGGGGTCCATCGTGCGCGGTACTGCAAGTCACTTTATATGGTTAATATTAATTCGTGTTGTGATTTATTTTATCTATAAAAGCCAATTATAATGTAATGGAATTCTGTATACTGGATCAAATTTCCAATATTATTAGAAAAAAAGATAGGATTAATCATTCATTTTCGTTCGCTTTTTTTTTATTTGTTATTTTTTTAACCAACATAAACAAACTGAATATTATCTAGATGATAAGTTGAAATCATTTTCGGGTTATCTAAGTGGTGCTTATATTTTTTTCTGGTCAGTTTTATAGTTAAGGACTCGGTTTTAGGAAAACATTTTGCTTGTTCAAGCATCTCTGGTAATCTGAAGTGTCATACCATTTGGTACTTTAACATCGGGTTGGAAAATATTTCCGTCCAACTTACAGCATTAAGTTATTGTGTATGACGTTCAACACCCCCAACTAACTAACAAGCTAACTAGCTGGAAAACATTTGTGTACTATCAGCATCCCTCGGTTTGATTTAACGTTTTTAGAGAATTTTACAGCTATAATATTCTCTTTTTTCAGTTTGTATACAATATAATTAAGATGTAATATGTAATATCATTGAAACTAATGTGGTGGGCATATCTTTCTAAAATGGAACAATTTAGTTTATTAATTAAAGAAATTTTCTCAAACATCTCGAAAAATTTCTAAAAACACAAAACTTTGTAGAAAACAATTTTCGGACATGTTCAGAAATATTCATCTAAGTTTGTTTAAATACACCCCCATACTTTAAGGTGATGACATCCCAGTTGTTAAAGTGATTAGCGCATGCTTAATTACTGTATCCCGCCATGACTAGGTCAGTTTTTAAATTTTACACAACATTGACAAAAGTTCGGACAGCAGGGGACAGGTAGATTTCAAAAGAAGAAATGATAGGTAACTGATAAGTATATATGTGTTAATGATCTATTATGATTAGACACTAAGAACCAGAAATGTATTATGTCCTTGTTAAACTTGACAAAAGAAATAATCATCATTTTTTTATTAGGATTAAAGACGAAAAGTAAACAAGATAAGTAGCTTTCATTACATATGAAATTATTTTGAAGGTTAACTGATGATTGGTATTTTTGTGCAATTAGAAAAGAAATTCAAAGTATGAGTTAAAAAAAATAAAATAAGAGACGACATGGAAAATTTTCTCCTGAAGTCTTAAACAAATCAAACGAAACGAATAAAAATTGTTAACGAGTCGTCTTTAAGCATTTATCAAACTATACAAGTACAAAAAATGCAGTGACAATTTAAAAATGTAACTCAAAATAAGTATTAAACACGTAATCAAATGTATTTACACTTTCATATTTCAGAAGTTTGAAACTTTTTCTTGGGTGGTATCGTTTCAGCACACAAAAAATGGACCTCGAACAACTGTTCTTATCTGTATTTCAATTTGCTATAATGCCGAGTCAATTTTATGCCTCAGCTTTTTAATTCTAAGCATCATCATGCAATTTGTGTCAACGAAATTATTAATCCATTTCATGTTGTGAAATATACATCGATGGTTGGAATTAATTTACTGGGGATTTATCTTGTATAAGATGATTTTGTTGAAAGAAAATTTGACACTTAAACATCTTAATCGGGATTTTCATAAGTGCCAACATTATAGTTATTGGTGGCAGCTCGTTTCCTACCAAGTCATTTAATCTAATAATTTTCATAAAGTACCTAATTATTCCTGTTGACCGTTTAATTATTGTCTGTAAATGAAGTATTATGATATCAAAGGTCAAAATAATTCTAAGATGTTCATGTAATTATTGGTTTGCTAATATTACTTTCGAAAATGTACGGAAGCGTATTAGGGACACAGTAAAAATAAAAATTGACATTGAAACTTTTTTCAAAGTCAAAATTTTGAACTTTTGAAAAAAAAGTTTAATGTCAATTTTATTTTTACTATGTCCCTAATACGCTTCCGTAATAATGTCAGTTATGCTGTTATTATTCACTTTCTCATGGAGGGGTATACTTATTTATTTATTTTTTTATTTGCCTATGTTATTTTTTCTGAGAAAATGCCAATGTTTTAGTTATATATAGAAATGATATTTTGTTTTTGTGAAAAATATATTTTTTTGTCTTCAGTTTCTCGCATAAGCCCGACAATTCGTCTTACGTAGACAGTTTTGTTTGACCCTCTATGAATATTGTAAATTAATAATCAAAGGTCAGAATTACCTCAAAGAAATTTATTTTTAGACAACATTGATCAGTAACCTAGTTTGAACAATGGGTGTTAATTCCTTCTTTTTACAACTTTTACAGCTTGTTATCAAACTCTTCTATGGATAGCAATTGTGCTAATTAAATCAAATGTTTCAATGTTTACGTGTGAGAATACATGTACGTTTGTAACTTTTTTACTACAGATTTTTGACAGGCAATGCTATAAAATACACAAAAATCTATAATTTCATACTTTTAATAAATAAAAGTAAACAAAGTTACGATACACAAGTTTGAACTCCAATTAATTATAGGATATAATAGATAAGAAAAACTTACTTAAGAAAGATTCATTTGCACAGCAAATGCAATATGATTCAGAAATCTGAGTAAGTTAGAAAGTGAGAAAATGCTATGTTAATGGACAAATGGTTCAACATTATTTTTCGGAAAATTATTACAGAAATCGGTACTCAATTTCGAAGATTAGAATTAAATATTCAAAAATTTGCAAAGGGATTCAAAATTTTAAACAGGTCCCATGTTTATATGTTTCAAGTTTTACCTTCTAATGTCTGTTTTTGAAATTTGGAGTGAAAGAAAATGATTTTTGAAACCAATAATCTTTCTAAAATAAAATTCTCGTTTTTGCCTTCAAGCAATATTTTTGATACGAAAACAACATTTTAGACCAAATGGGCATTCTTTAGCTTCGTACAGTGTATCGAGTTTTATATATATGGAAATGCATCGTGTCGTTTATTGACTAGTATATATAAAACAATAATATTTTTTCTTTCCACTATCCACGTAATAGTAAACTTATAATATAAATTGTAAAATTTGATCTACAAATCATATTCTAGAGAAAATAATAAAAAGAGGAAATGAAAGTATTCCTCATATCAAATAGTGATAAAATAATTACATTTTCTTTCATAATAAACATTATACTTCAATAAGCACTATTCCCTTTCGTCATAGATTTTCCCACAAGACAGAATGATAAGGTTTCCCACGGAGTAACTACTAATGAAGAGCACATCAGACTTGTTTTTCTAGTTATAATAAGATATACTCCTAGCGTACTTGAAGTATATACCTAGTCACATAACTGTTCCCACATCTGTTAGAAACATCAACTAATTTTGCACTCAATTTTACTACAGGTGTTTTGCAAATGAATAAATATTAAATGGCGACCTTTATTGTTTTTGTTTATAAATTACATATTTCAGTAAAAAAACGGTTTTTTTTTTCATTTTCAATGATTAATTATTGTATTTGAAAAAAGTTTGTGTCTAGTGGTAAATAGCTGGGACTAATAGATAAATCTCAATGTATTAGTCCCAGTTAATAGGAAGAAAAATATATACTAGTATTTTGGTTGTAAAACTAAATAAGTGGGTTATATTATTTTATTTTAAGTGTGCACGAATGACAAAAGCAAGTATATTCCTAAGAGTGAAAGCAGAATCAAATCTTGTTTAGAATTCATAAAAATATGAATAAGAATATTTTTATTTATATCTTAATTTTATAAAAATTGATCTGAAAATATTTTTTTTAAATTCAAAAGAGAGAACTCATTTAACTTAATTAATTTAAAACAGTAATTTAATTTAATATAAAATATAAACAAAGAATTTGACGAAATACATTATTAGTCACATATATTTCAGGTAAGAGGGGAAAGATAATAATTATATTATTGTATTTAAGATTAATTTAAATCAATTGATATATGTTTAAATATTGTTATTCTAAACACCGCCTTTATTAAAGTTGTTTACGCCCCTAAAGGGAAAGGCCAATCAGAAATAACTAAGGTGTTACTATTTGCCAATCAAAATTTGTGATACGCCAATTGAGAGGAGGATTGTACAGAAAAAGTATCAATTTGATTTCTGTCGGAAAATTAAACAGGACTGAATATTTTCTTTGACTCTGTAGTGGTCTTCATATCATCCCTTCATTTTCGACAAGATAGAATTTATATTAGAGAGCTACTGTGGTGCGAGTGACGGGAACCTACCAACAATCAGGACCGACTTTATCAAGTCCCAGCAGGGCCTATGTGTTGACTGTTTCTGCTGTAACGTTAGTCTCATCGCTTGTGCCGAATCAGGATTGTTTGCCACTGTGCACCAACTGGGTTATCGTGAAAAAATAACATCATTAACTCTTGATGATATACTGAAATAGTACACCAATATGATTAATCCGTACATGGACAATCCACATACGCCTTTGCCCCCGGGAGCATTGAAGCTGAGTCCCCCACATCACATGAATGATGGATTACACAATCAGTCGAGTCCACCACAGTACACTTCTCAGGCAAATGGCTATGGTGCCACCCATTCGCACTTAGGAAGTTATGCTGCAAGAGACTTTTTGTTTAGAAGGCCTGATATTGGTCTACCAAGTCATGAAACAGGCGGAACCGGACACCATGGAGGAATGTTTTCAACATCTGCTGGTTTCCATTCACATCATCATCCGGAGACAAATTCTAGTCATATACTATTCCCAGGTATACACGATGCTTCACACCAAGCACCATCTCATCATTTGAACAATCAAGTCCGTTTTGGACTTCCAACACCACCGGATGTTTATCCCAGGACGGATCAGTTTGGACAGTTTCCACCACGAGCGGACCACTACGCACAACATTATAACATGGGTCCTATTAACTCTTTAAATCATATGAACATGGGGCCACATGGACCAGGAGCATTTTTTCGTTACATGAGACCACAGATCAAACAGGAGCACACATGTTTATGGACAGACATTGAACAGCCAGAGCCAAAAAAGCCTTGCAATAAAGTTTTTAATACAATGCACGAAATAGTGACTCATATTACTGTGGATCATGTTGGAGGTCCAGAGCAAACAAATCATACTTGTTTTTGGCAGGAATGTGCTCGGGAACAGAGACCTTTTAAGGCAAAATATAAACTGGTCAATCATATTAGAGTACACACCGGAGAAAAGCCATTTCCGTGTCCGTTTCCGGGATGTGGAAAAGTCTTTGCTAGGTCTGAAAATCTTAAGATCCACAAAAGAACACACACAGGTATGATGAATTTCCGCAACATTCTTAGTAAATATTTTAGAAAATTGTATTTTTCTATTTTAATATTGACAAATTATTAATTATAATATTTTTTTCGCAGTTATACGAATACGCAGAACACATTTGATTTCTATTTATTTTTTATAGGAATTATTGAAAAGAGCAAGTAAAGAAACTCATGTTTTACATTTTTTAACGTTGTGGGAAAATTTTAAAATCGCATAAATTTTAATCTTCAATGATTCATAGAATTATCAATTGTTTGAACAAATCTTATTGGAATAACATGTAAACTTATAATTTTGTTGAATTTAAATTTAAACGATCAGAATTTGATTCCTCGTTCGTGATAATATTTTGACACATAAATACATATGATTTAAATTTAATTTGATATGATATGTCCAGTTTATTTGGATATTGACCAAGATAAGCACATTTTTTACATTTTCAAAGTAAAAATAAATGTTCAAAACAAAGATTGCCCTTAAAACTTTTAAATGATTTTTAACTCTATATATTAAAAATGAAAATTGAACAAATAAGAGATACAGAATATTATTTGTTTAGAACAGACTGATTGACAAAAAAGTTCATTAAAACATTATGTAATTACATATTTACATCTACGCCCCTTTTAAATATTTATATTCATATTTAAGTTATTATGAAAGAGGTTCTTTATTTACAATTAAACTAAATAAGTTCATTTTGAGTAGAGTATTTGTAGAATCAATAAACTTTTTGCTGGGTTATAGACTATTGAATAACCCTTGAAACTAAATTGATTTTGAACACATAAAACTTGTAACTTATTTACGAATAGCCTTTGGGTCGCAAAAACATGTACACTTATTAACAGGTCTTTGAACTTTAAAAAAAGAATTCTGTAAAATTTCAATCTCTATTTTAGAATACTATAAAGAAACTGTCAAATATAACAAGTGCAACAATAAAAATAAAAAACAATTTTTATTCAATTTAGCCTGAAGACTTAAAGAGGATAATTGAGACTTTCTAAAGTTAATTTGTAACATTAATTTGAAAATAACACTTTTGGTGATTATTTCAGCAACTGAGGCTACGAGGCAGTTGTTAATTTTGGCGCAAAATTCAATGCTAAAAATCAATTCCATAATAATTCTATGCGAAAGAAATCGAATTTTTACAGAAATATTATCGGATTGTCCACTTGTGGCTAATAGGACTTGAAAAGGTGTCATTTCAAAACTGATAATCAGCTAGGATTATTGGTTTTCGATTGTCTTATCACCTTAACTGACAAAAAGTGGTCAGAATTGATTTTGGAATGCAATGCTTTTGTCATGATTTTTCACAAAGTATTTTAAAATAATACCCAATTTAAATGTGAAGATGACATAATACGATAAATGTTACCATATTTAATTATAATTCTACTTTTTCCGAGAATTTTGTTCCTTTTAACATTGGAAAAGTGTACTGTAATTTCATCAGGTCTTTGAAATGAAAGAAAATAATTAATGTGGGTGCGAACATATGAAGAATTTATAAAGAGTTAGTCATCGTCATATTTTGGCGACTATGATGTATGTTCTGCAATATTATCTTCATGATATGTTCGAAAGATTTTTTTGTGTGAAACATTATAACAAAGTTAATCATTATTTATTATTAAAAATAAAAGTTCTGATAAGTCGGTCACGTGAAATGACAGAACGAGGTCCAAATTACAACTTTTACATAACTACAAATTTGCGCCCACTGCTTCCATGTGGCAAGTTAACAGCTACACTAACGACTAATTAATAGGCCAATTAATCGAACCCATCTTGATATAAATCATGAAGGAACAATGTGGTTTTGTCATATGCTTCAGAAAAAGAGGAGAGCACATCTTGTTTTTACATTGCGTCTTAATATTTCAGTCTGACAGTAATTATGGTCATAAACTTTAGTTATGGGGGACAAGTCGGAACTAAATTTCTTTCCAGATGTCTTTGAGAACGCTCTTTGAGTATTATGTCTTCACGCCCCTTACTTGTTTTGATAAGTAAACCATACTTATTTTCACCAAAATCTTATTTTTATTACCGTATGATGAATCAACAGGGTGTTATAATTTTCATTTATTGCAGGAGTTTTGTAATATATATATCAAGTTTAATATATCCAGGCTAATTCGTTTTGCAGCAGGGATGGGGAAATTGAAATTTAGACGTGTTTTTCATTGTATACAAATCTTGTATAAAATGTACCGACTCTGTACGGACAAGGATCCTTGGTACGGAGTCTTAAAGTCCCTCCTGTATTTTAAAGGCCGTGGAGTATAAATGATGTTACATTTTTCCTTTTCCATTTGACATATTAAAAATCCAAATACTACTATTTAAATTTTAAGTAACACATTTTAAATATGATCCTGCAGGAGGTCAGAACCTATTTAAAGTGTTTTTTAACCGAACTGAAATAGGTATACCGCCAACACTTAAAAAAATAGACCGTCTTACTGCAAATTGTGTTGATCCGAGGTTTGAAATTTGTCTAAAATTTAACAATTTTTAAACGGAAAAAAAATATATCAAATTGCCTACAAAACATTTCACGTGTGTTTACTTAAATGAAAATTACAAAATTTTTAACTGCACAGTGATAAAATATGCGTATCCAAGGATACAAACATTTTGTCGACGTTGTAGGTTTTGAAAAGTAACCTATTTGATCCCTAACAGAAGATTTTCTCACCACTTTTGTTTGTTTTTACTCGGTACCATTCATAAGTTCTTATGCTTAATTTCTGCTCTTGACAGACAAGCTATCCGACTATTCAAAACAACCATCATTTAGAATGTCAAATTACACTTCTGTAGTAGATTGGTGAAAGTGCATTTTTCTTTAGATTGCTTCCTGCTAGTAGTAGTAATTCAGAACAGCTGGAAATCTTATTTATTATCATAATATTTTCAATATTTATTAGAATATATAAAAGTTGAAATAGCAGTTTGTAGAGTTGTAAACACACATACGTACACTATTTTATGACAACCTGTTGCGAATTTTAGTTTTATGTTGTCGTATTTTGAGAGACAGCTTGCAAGTAAACTTCGAACGTTGAGCGTTATATATGTATACAATAATTCTATCTAACAAATATTATGTCATGTTATTTCTTTTAATGGGATTTTTTAATATATCCTTACTTCTGTGTCCTGAAGAAACATATATATATATATATATATATATATATATATATTAATCAATCATCTTTTTTTATATAAAAAAGTTATTTTCATCATTTTGAATTCAATGAAATGATATTTACAACTGATATACAAATTAAAAGCTTTAAAGCATCATTCAATCCTCTTCAAATAATTATTAACACAAATAGTAATTTTGTTTTACTGGAAGCAACACAATAAACACTTGTTGAGTATTGGATTACAAGTAGAATTAATCCTGAAGTAAATACACAAACATTGATCGATTTCAGTTTGACAGTCTGTCAAATGCCATATCTTCATCAATAAAAAGAAAACAAGATTAACAGATATGAAGAGTTCCACTACCGACATGCTTTTCCACTTCCGGATATTTATTCTTCACTTAATATCATCTACAAATTTAAGTTATTAATACACGAATTTATATTCAATAAGAACAATAACACTTTATAATCAACCAAAGATCAACAAGGGACATAAGCTTTTAAAATGTGGGACAGTATTCTATCAAATTAACATTCTCTGTCTACATGTTTATTGCAAATATTACTATTAGATCATGTATACACCAATGAGCTGATAGTTAAGGTATATAGTAAATAAACCATATAGTGCAAAAAAGAATATTGAATTGTTAGCTTAGTAACAAACAATATAAATACATTGTTTCAATGTCCACTATAACAATATAAATACAGTGTTCCAATATCCACTATACACTATAAATACATTGTTACAATATCCACTATACAATATAAATACATTGTTTCAATGTCCACTATAACAATATAAATATATTGTTACAATATCCACTATATAATATAAATACATTGTTTCAATGTCCACTAAAACAATATAAATACATTTTTACAATATCCACTATATAATATAAATACATTGTTTCAATGTCCACTAAAACAATATAAATACATTTTTACAATATCCACTATACAAATACATAGTTACAATATATACTGTAACAGTGTCTCGGGCATACAATATAGTAAAAATACAATTTAAGATATATTATCTTTTTTAAATTTTGCCACTGCATTAAGGACCTGACCAAATCATGTTTTGCTCATTGTCTAGTATTAAAAAATTGGGAACTTTAATTATTATTTCTATAAAATGAGATTGTAATGTGTTCCTCCTATTTGGAATAATTAAAGTCAATTTGGTTTTTTATCGTATTTAGTTACCATAGGCGCGTAATGTGACGTTCTGTGAATAAGTTGTCATAGTTCTCATTTAACCAGGGTATTTGGTTTATTTTATTTGCAAAATAAGATATATAAATGAATATTCATACTGTTAAAAATTTATACTGAATAATTTCAACTTCCGATGTATATTTAGACATTTTTGAAAGAATAATGTTTTAAAATATACAAAGAAGTCTTAAAATATACCAAATAATAACGCCCTTCATGTGACAGATGCATGACAATAGAAAATATCGACATCTGTGCACCCAACAACATGCTCTGCATGGACAATTTCTGAATTAAAAAAAAAATATCGCTTACTGTTACTTTCTTAAAATTATCAAAGATAAACTTTGAATAAAAGGAGAAATATATGCATTTTCAGATTTATAGAAGATTGTCTTTTAAAAAAATACTCATTCTTAACATTAACAATTCATTGTTCTAACTAGAAAAACAAAAAAATACGATGCAATAAGTTGGGTTGCGTAAATTATTTCAAATACAAGTCTTTTATTTCGTGTTACCTCTACAATTGTAAGACCCATTGTAAAAATATGGGGATTCCGCATAACAATTAAAAAAAAATTTGAAAGATCGGAAACTTTTTAAAAACAAACAAAATAGATTTATTTTAAAAATGTTAAGAATTTGTCTTTTACAAATAAAAAAAGGAAACAAATAAAAGCCTCAATTTATGGCGCTTTACATTGACTTCGATATCTTTCTGTATTCACGAAAATAGAATTGCAAACTGTATATACTTATTTAAGAATACAAAACTCAACTATTGGCCCTTTAAAAGTCAAAAGAAACCCGTTTCTTCCTCAGCAATACCAGACTTAATACATTATAAATGACACCCTTTATTTGCAAAAGGTTCAATATTATTTGTAAAAGCGACAATTTGTATGTTTATTGGGATGTGGTTATAATTGGCGATACATAAAGTTAAACTCTTCAGCTTATGCAAAACTGCCGGCAGATTTACAAGAGCAGATAATTAAAGTGCATACCAAGGAGGCAACACATATCAGTGAATGTTACAAGCTTTCAAATACATAGAACCAATGACAAATACACGAACAAATACAAAAAGACTTTCAAATCAAGAAAATAAATTCCATTATTTATCTTTAATGGCAAACACTAATGCCCTAAATTTTGTGCAATATGGCAAACCTGACGATGGGATAATTTAACAGTTCATAAATTAATTTGGCATATGTTTCAATATATATAATACAGCTCTCCTGATAGCTGCAAAAATAACAAACGAGCGAAATGAAAGACGAAGCATAATTAATTATTATTATTTCAAGACAAATCTATATTATCGGGTTTTTGGTCATTATAGTGGATTAAACATTTATCAGTAAGCTGTCAGATACAGCACTCCTATTGTATTTGCCTGTCTGCCACTTCAGGATAATGACTACGAGCTGCAAGCATATCTCATTGTTTCTTTAACTCTCCAGAGTTTTTGTCCTTTACCATGTTCGGATTCTATTAAAACATCATGAAATAACGGTGCCATTTAATACTGGGGATTTTCATATTTGTAATTTTGAAAAATAATCACATTAATGCCACGACATTTATTCAGGGTTGATAATTATTACATCAATATTGTATGTCTCTGTTTATATAAATGGAAATTATTTTTACACAAACGATATGATCGCTGTTTTTATTATATTAAGAAAGTGAAGAAAATTGGTAAAATACCATACAAAAAATTTAATTGAATATGTAAAATGTCTTAGCATTTACCGAATGATATTTTTCATTACTTTTAATTTCTTTCAAATTGTCTTAAAGCGGACTTCACTCCATGTTCGACAACAGAAGGCTATCCTTTACTGGATTAAACCCTATAGAATAAAATTTTATATATGGAACAGAGCCGTTGTTAAAACTTAGACCAAACAAACAAATATTTTAAAAAGTGGAAAGTCTTCGAAATAGTTTTTTTCCCCTTTTGGGGCTACACATTTGTCTTTTGAAATATTTTTTTTTCAAATGATGTATTGATATAGTGAACGCCATTTTCTGTGTTTTTGCTTCCGATTTGGGAATTTATGAGGAAATGATTTAACATATCGTTAATTTTTTACAGGAGAAAAGCCGTTCCGTTGTGAATTCGAAGGATGTGACAGGCGATTTGCAAATAGTTCTGACCGAAAGAAACATTCGCATGTTCATACCAGTGATAAACCCTATGTATGTAAAATTAGAGGTTGCGACAAGACGTATACTCACCCAAGTTCTCTCAGGAAACATATGAAAATACACGGGAACATTTCACCTAGTACCGAAATGAAAGATTCGGACGAAGAAATAAGTCCGCCTGAATGTGACATTACAGCAAGCTCGCCGCCGAAGGAAGTGAAGATTGAACAAGTGACAGGAAGTCAGGAGACTACAACTTCACCATTATCAAATGCTTCGTCTGTCGACATTCATCGAAATGACAATGTAAGTTTAGGACAGTCCCATCAAACGAATATCAATGATTGGTACGTTTACCAAGGATCAAACCACGGACTTGCTAATTTGAGAAATGAAAACGAACATTCTGCCTTCAGTTCTATGGGACATTTATCGAACTTGCATCCGCCACCTATCGCACAATATTCTTGATCAACACTGACCAATGCACAAAGGTGCATGGATAGAAGACAAACGAACTTACATGTATTGTTTTGATAAGTAATAATTAAATTATTTTATTTCTATAGTTGTCAAGATAACAAATATGTTTCTGCAAAGCATCATTCATCAATGTGGACCCAGACCCATTTCAGTTATGGTCAAACGTCTGAAATTACATAAGACATTCATTATTGCACTACTTTACTACCTTACTAAAAAGCGGAAGGGGCGCTTGATGTCTCTATAGTAATTCTATTTGCGTTGCTAATCAAGCACTATCATGAAAACAGCTTTAATACAACACAAAAACTCCAACATGTATACATAACAATAATTCAGCAGCTTTCATACACAATTATTCATTCATTAATATGCGCACTATTTTGATCACGCGCATGATATTTCTTAAACTTGATCATATTAAATAGTTTAAAATTTTGTGGCTATTCACGCCCTAGTACAATTCCCCAATTAAACAAGACAAAAAAAACATACAACTCTAAAACCGAACCCTTTTTTTTTGGTGGTTGATATTTAATAGATTTTCAAACGAAACGCCATACATAAAATATACAAAAGATCTGTTTATTAAAAATTAAAACAGCTCTGGAGTAAGCCTCTACGTGTATCAATTTTCTTATCTATGGTGAATACTTTTAAGAATTTATTTACATATACCAACTTTAGATTTCAACAAACCTTTGTCATATAGTTTCTACGCATGAAGATTGACACAGAGCAGTGCTTTACTTTCAAAGATATTATACAGCCCCACCTTTTGGAAAATCATGTTCATAGTACCGTAAAAACTTTTCACAATTGCATACTTAAGGGAATTGTTAGTAAAATTTGACGTAGTCTTACCCCCTTTCACCCTTTTTGGAAATTCTCAGTGTTGTAAATCGTAGAACCACTAATGCCAATACTGAACCCCAAGTAATAGAGTGTAGTAAGTAAATTTGATTGGTTCAGACGAGTTTGGGCGAGCAAAGTTTACTTATTATAGTGCACCTGGCTTAGAATGTAACCATACTTTCCATAAATCCATCTTAGTGCATATATGATGTGTAACAGCAGGACTCAATATATGCAAATAATTGGCCATGCTGTTTGTAACAACTGGGCTATCTGGCTATATGCATGTTTTTTTATTGTGTATTAAACTTTTACGATAGAAAAAAAGTTTGAAGGCAATCAAAACTGGTTTAACCTAACCCCATTTCATTTACTGCCTGCTCTAATTTAGGCTATCTGTACCATGTGTTGTTTGTTTTCTCCGTCTATTTGTTCGGAGGAGAGACCGTTTTTGGTTGGTGTGGTCTAGTGGACTGTCCTAAATATATAAACTCATCATAGATACCAGGCTTAAAATTCCGCCAGGCGCGCGTTTCGTCTACAAAAGACTCATCAGTGACGCCCCAATAAAAAAACGTTAAAAAGACCAAATATATCTTTTTGGTAATTCTTACTACCCTTTTATGCATTACACTGACAGAGAATTCATGTTGACATATTTGAATGTAAAAGCCAGCTGTCTTGTAGTGTCTACACATGCAAGCGATGTGAGAAACAGAACAGTGCTATACTTTCAAGGTTTTAAAAATTGTGTTCTCATTACCGTAAAAAAAAACATTTTTACAGTCAATCCCTCTCTTATCAGAAATATTGGTGTATAAAACTTCTGGATGCTCATCCTCTTGTTTGCATGACTGGTTCCGGCAATGTTGAATGTTGAATATCTAGTAATAGTTTAATAAACTAAATAAAATGTTCCTGACAGTTACTGTTAGACAATTTTTTAAACCCCTCCCTCTAACCTAGAACAGTGGTGTAATAGCAAAACAAATTGTAAAAAGAAACCAGTTTGAAATGGCTTGATTAATCAGATCGAAACGAACTACACACAAAAAACAAATAAAAACATAAAGACAGAATGTTAAAAGTGACGATCTAAGAGTACCCGGATCCTGTTAGAAGACTATTATGTTTAGATAAAAGCTTTAGCATCCAGGCGCATCTGAAAAGCCTTCACCACATAATTCAGACGTTCTTAATATAGATATTCCTTCAATATTTTTTTTACATGTTTGGTAAATCTTTGTTCAGTTTTGATAACGAAGGAAACACTTTTATTGCAATAAACAAAATTGCATATGTTAGTCTTTTATAGAATAGGACTATTTTTGTTGCATAGTATCTAAACTTTTATACAATTTTGATTTAAAAACACATGTTTTATGTATGAAAAACACTTACTTATGAGTAGTTATTATATTTTGTAATATTGATTCATAATACCATTGCTAAAGTCAAAGGCATAATTCGTGAACTGACAATTTGACAATCAGACACGGATAACAACGAGAGAAAAAAAAGCCTGATACCTGTTAAGCGTTGTTCTGAAATTCAAAAATTTAAAAAAATGATATTATGTAACGAAGTCTTTCGTTCTGATGGTCATATGCTGCGATTTGAAACAGTTTTTCGGAAAAGATGATGAAAAGATAACACTTTGGAAGTATAATGGCCAGGGTCAGTGAGTTATTGAGCTTTTTTCTTTTTCGTAGTTATCTTATAGAAAATAAGCACATGCAGAAATGCCAATTCAACATGATTACTAGTACTTCATATTTTGCCAGTTGTTTTTAATATCACTGTGTAAGAGCTGATTTTCAAAATATATTTATTCAAAAGCGCTAAAACAATTTATATACAGTTGAATGCAATTTGATTTGTTTACTCATCTGTCATCAACAATAAATCCTGCACACAAAAATAAAAACAACATAAATATTAAGATATGAAAACGACAACCACTAACAAGGTTCCTGACGTCAAACAAGCAGATGAATATGTGTCGGGTGAAACAAGTTTTTTTCCAACCCTCATCTTTTTTTATCTCGATGGAATAACAAAAGCAGAGACATATATATACACATATATTTGACTGACAAAAGGTAAAGGGAATAGAACATGCAATGAAATCGGTACAGAGAAGGCAACTATAAGTTAAAAATAAGTTCAAACAAAACATTATCAGTATTGAATATACTAGCAGTTATATACTGAAAGCAAGCTCAAAGTTTAACCTGCGTAGGAAGTTATATCAGTTTCGACACGATCAAGTGTAATGTCATGAACAAACTGAAAAAAAATCTGCAAAAAAAATCCGAAAATATTGTTATTTTTACATTATTAGGTGTTTTTTTTGTCGCACATAGAACATTTGCTATAGAATATGCTGTGATTTTTTTCTCATTAATATATTTACATCTCTTGTGTAGAGAGATTTTGTGTCAATTACTTCTTCATCAACATCCTGATTATTTCCAAGTATGTTTTATTTTGATATAACAAACTGTTTCGTCAGGTCATATTTACACGATCCTGGTGTAATCTAGTTAGTTGACAAATAATGAATACTAAATATGTGTTTACCTAAATGTACCCCGTTTATATAACGAATTTGACTTCTTATCGGTTCTTTTCATGTTCTATATGTGAAAAGTCACTTGCTATATTTCTTTTCTGATCATTTTTTTGTACAGTCACATTCTTCTGAAGGTATATTCTTGTACTTTTAAATTCATATTACACCGCCTTAATATAGTTATAAGAGCTATAAAGAAAATTGCAAAAATAATCATTCCAGCTGTGCGGATTTCAATGAATTATAGGTATCAAGTTGAAAGAGTAAATATTAAAAATAAACAACTTAACTTATTGAATACGTAACTTTACGTCAATTAAACATATGATCGAAACTTTCAAGGCATCAAATGAAAAAAAAAATTAAAGTTGCGAATTTTGGTTTGCATGTTGATTTGAGTCGCTTGTACATTACACTTGTCCATTTGTCTAAATCGTAACGGTTTAATAAAAAGATGTAACACGCTAAGTAAGAATATATATAAACATAAATCCTTTTCAAACAGCGACTTATCTTGTACTGTGTAATTAAAAATACATACGTCACAAGTAAATGCACGATGCTTGAATACTATCTATTCTACAGCAGTAACTGTCACAATAACTACTTTTAGCAGATATTTCACAGTCAATGTATCATACAAATGTACCACAAACCACAAGGATCGTAATGGGACAGAGTCTCTGGTAATGGGGCGAACATTTCTCAATGATCAGATATTTTATCATTAATTAACATTCTAATTGTGAATGGATGATATTTTTATTTTGCTATCTATATATCTACGTGTGGTTCAGAGGACTAAAGAGAATAATTTCATTTTTTTTGGTACTTTTTCTAATAGTTTGTTAATAAACACTTTGAAAGTTTGGTGGAATTCAATAACTGAGTAAATTGTTTTCACTTTGACGACATTCTAGTTAATAAAGAATTACACACAAAATATATGATAGTAGAACCTATTTTACTGCAAAAGAAACCAACATGGTTCATGTGCATGCTTGAAATGTTGCTAACTTTCTGTGTCATTTGGTCTCTGGTGGAGAGTTGTCTCATTGGCAATCATATCACATCTTCTTATTTTCATATTTACATGTTCAACAACTAATTCATATGAATTCATATCACAAGATGGACCTTAAGCCGATTATAAAACTTGGTTTTTACTGTTAGCTGATAAATGGATGCATTATTTTCAGGCGTTCGAATTTGCCTTAAATGTACTTATTTGTATAATGAATATATGTAATGAATAATGTTATTATGAACATTAAACCGATTATGAATAACCAACATTGACAGAAATCTGTAACTACAGACAACGTTGTATGACATATAACTTTACCAGTACCAACATTCAAGACTGTACAATCAAATTTCAAAAAAAACTTGCATAACAACAACGCGATGTGCAAGAATTTTAAAGACGTTATGTTAAAGGTTCCCTACATTTACAATGCAAATGGTTTTACATCAGAGATAATGATTGTATAGTCTGTATTCGGATGCATTGTTAGCAAATGTTCTTAGCATTCAAACTTATAATATTCTTAAACGAAATAATGCATTATATTTAAACCGTAACATTTTTGCGGAATCATAAATTAAATTTATCTGTTGTGACATGGGTATGCTTTTTAAAGGACACTGGAATTTTAACACCTTTTGACTGCTTTGTAATTTATAATATTGCATTTCTATATATGTCAACATTGTGTTAAATGAAATAAAAATTCGATGTAATATATGGCTAAAAAATTCCCTATTTATATGGCGGATCCTGAAGTTTAATTTCTTATCAGTTTATATGTGTTGTTAAAAGTGTCAAAATCCAGCCTCTGTCGTGCAAAGAAACAAACAATTCACCGGGGGAATGTCATTAAAAACATAGGATAAATGCAAGGATTACATTTCTCTTCAATGAAAATTGAAGATTCATTTAACTTGTTGAAAACGCTTTTTTCCGGAATTCATTCATCCGTACATAAGCTTAGAATCGCCGTGGACATAAAGTAACCAGTTTGTCGCCTATGTCATATTAAAAAGACATAAGATTTAAAAGTCTGTCGGGAGATTCCAATGAAGGCAAATCGAGCGAAATGAATGATTCATTTTCACATAAGAAATATTTTCTTTTATAGACTTCACAATAATACACACATTTATTTGTTAATAGTATCTCTTTTAACAAAAATACCATTACTGAAATAGAGATGCATTGGTTAAAACCGCCTTGTCACGGGCCGTCTATGCTAATTAGGTAGTTAACAATATAAAAGGTGTCAATACTTACACCTGAAAGAGCCCGTTTTACAAACGTTCAATTTTGTTTTCAATTTAAAAAGATATTCGTTTGAAGAGGGTTTTAGCGTCTTCATTTGTAGAAACGAGTGTGTAACAACTTGATCATTGAATAAGACGTTTCCATTGTAATTGGAGACAAGCTGCCATGCTTCTGGGTAGATCTGACCAATGGAATCTTCATATATAGAGGCAACCGGAAGTAATTATTTCTGAATGACCAAAGAACTGTCATTACACTGTATACAGCTTGCAAGCACTGGTTTAAATACATTCGACATATATTGCGTGCATTGAACTATAACACAACAATTCCAATTTTGGTTTTCGGGTTCTTAGTGGCGAAGAATTAATGGTCACAAATTCATATGCAATAAATAATAGGATAACCCCAATTTATATACATTGTACTTGTATAGGAGGAATACCGCTAATTCTTGGCCCCGTTGCTTTCTATGTAAAATTCTTCAATTTCAAGCATTTTCGGCTCTTATGTTTTAAATCCAAATATTAAAGTGACAGTCAGTTTATGTCAAAGCAAAAGCTTAACGTGTCTGTATAGTCTGGGAGAACATGATTTATCTGTTACTTTATATAGTAGTTGTTATTGGATTTGAACTAGCTTTCAGTAACTGCGAGTACTTTTAGATCGGCACTTTCTGTCTTTTGTCTGTATATGTTAGTTGTATTTTTTGTGCTTTGTGCCGATCTGATGAGTCGTGCCAATTCCAGTTAATTTTTACAGCTTTTTCTTATTTTGTGCTGTAAAGCACTGTCCCAGGTTTAGGGAGGATTGAGTGCTCATAAGCATATTTAACCCTGTGTCTGTACCACATCAGGATACTGTAATTTAGTAGTTGCTGTCTGTCATATTTTGTTTTTCGTTTATTGTTTTGTCATCTATCAGGGCGTTGGATATTTCGTTTCACATTTTGTCATGTCGGGGCCTTTTATTGCAAACTATACGGTTTGGGTTTTGCTCATTGTTTGAAGGCCGTACGATGCCTATAGTTTCTTAAATCTTCTTCATTTGGGCTATGTTGGATAACTGT